TTTTAACCACCGCTTCTGTTTAAATAGCGCCGCTGATTGGTCACGTTGTCTCAAAATACCTACTGCGTTTTCTTCGATGATTTTGAAGAGCTTGTCAAAATAGTTGTGTTTAAAACAGTTCTATACGTTTTAATCCGGTATGGAACCAGATGAATCCATTGATTTAGTAGATTCCGAGGCAGCAAACGCTTATGGATCGGTTGTTGCGAAGAAGGAACAAGAAAATCCTTGCGAGCATTTGCGAAGATATCCAAGCGTGACACTAAGAAAATTTTCACCGGACACCACTGCACACGGTATTCGAATAACTAAACGTCCGGCAGTCTGATGTTTTTCCATATTTCGCTTTGAAAAATACCAATTTCTATTGGAAAATATTTTATCTTCATTTGGAATCTTCAAGTGCTTCTAGAAAGTGAAAAAACTCGAAGGTTGTCCTTTTCGCCGACTCTGTTCACAGAGTACGAAGAGATCCAAATGTGACACATTCTTCTTCGGATTCTACCGGACAAAATTCAAAATACAGTAAGGAAACTGTAAAATGACGGACGGCGAATGTATTTACCGTAAAACAGTTGACTACATGTCGAGGATGGCTCTTGAGAAAGACGATTTTTGAAGGTTTTCAGCGATCAGGGAATTTCGTGTAATAGGAAATTGGGCCGAGGCATCAAGGTTGGAAATGGGCCTTTAAGTAAAGCTGTAATGTAAATGTTATCCATGAGTGGTGCATGTCCTTTTGTGTTTTATGAAGACGCGTAATAATTTTTTCATTAAGGTGTAGAAGTATAGCCAATTCTTTAAATTAGCGCTCGTATAGAGCTATGTTAGAACCAACAGCATTTCGAGTGAAACATTGGGAAATTTAGACGTTATGGCTAATTTTCAAAATTCAGTACATGTCAGTGTAACAGCCGTTTCGGACACATTCAGAAGAAAAAATTGGCGACCAAAAGCGCTCTCTTTGCTTACTGTGGAGTTTATACTATGAACATTGGCTGATTGTTGCTGCTTATAATTGGAACTCATTTCAATCTCATCTCTCACGGTTAGACCACTAATCAAGCAAGTTCCAAAATTTTGCTCGGCTTTTCAGTACCTTCGATTCTTTTGTGCCGACCACAAAACCGTTAATACGAAGAAAAAAAGGGGTATAATGTCGACCCATTACAACATAAAGGCGCGCGCACTGTAAGACAAAGACTCAGGCACTTGTCCACTTAGAGCTGCTAAAAGACGTCATTAGCTCTAATGAATTAAGTAAACAGAATGTTCTAAAGGCTTCCCTGTAAATGCGACAAAGTTAACATCGCCAAGACTGGGGACCTACATACAGGAAGAAGCATAACAGAGACATTCGACGTGCTATGACGTGGACCTTCACCATTTCAGAGCACGTCCACAACATCAGACATTATACCCGCTCTGAAACTCATCACGATCCTTCCCTTACAAGCGCAGAGTAAAAGTTGCGACACCCATAACCCTTCGCCCAATAAGATCAAAATAAACAGAGGAACTAAAGAATCTGATAAGCAAACCTTGGTGCCAAGGATAATCAAAGTGCTCTGTGAACAAACTCGTGAATTGACACATGATTTTTTGGATTATGTTTAATGTTATCTGGTTTAGGGAATTTTGTGGTTGATTGTCATATCTAGAGTACGAGCAGTAGTTCAGTGTTCGCTAATGTAGCAAAGAAATAAAGTAACGTTGGGATAGGAAGGCATTACAATTGAAGTGATCATGCTATTACATTTGACAAGGGTGGATGATGTCATGTGTTTTAAACGTATATCATTTTTGTTTCTGGTTCAAAAGAAAAGGTTGGAAGTAAATGTAGGTGGAAAGTGAAATTTACTGTCTATCATTGTAAATATTAGAAAATCAAGGCAATACTGTCTTAATGAAAACATTAACGATTCCCTCTTCATCAAATGAGACAAACGGGAACGAGTTTTGGATCTGCGTCATTTTGGATCTCCGCCAGGGTAGATTTTGGTCACGTGCTGGGCAACGTATAATCAATAAAAAGATAGAATTTCATTTCAGGCCTATTTATCAATTTTGTAGTGTATAACTTTCGCATTTTAGTACGTTGTATGTATTTTGAATCTTCAAATTGTTTTGAAACTTAATAGAAAATTGTTCTTTAAAAGTTCACTGAAAATCGGTAGCTAAAATTGTTCGTTTAGGTGTCATTTGATTTTCATGTTAACTTGTAATTTCGTTAGTCGCCGGCATCTTCTGTTACTTCACACAGGAAAAACACACGATACGAAAAGTAATGATCAATTTTGTCCTCAATCTCACGCCATAACAGAAAAAGCTTTTGAACATCTGTAAACTCCAAGCACTTCGCAGTAACTGATATTTTCAATGAATCTTCGGATTGTTTTCAAGTTCAAGGATTGTAAATTACAATTTTATGAAAAACGAAGGTTGTTCTGTTATTTCAGTGTGAATCCTTGCATGCCTACCAGTCGCTGGCGCCGCTTGTTGAAACTAAAACGAAAAAAACTCTTTTAAGATTATCATTGGCTTCTTTTTCACCCCACCACTATTCTTAATAACAAAGGTCGCCATTTCGTTTGTTTATTGCTCGCTAAAAACTATCAAATGCACTCAAAATTTTACAGGAATCGACCAATCGAGCGAGTGCCATTCCACACATCGTATCTACAACTCGCTCTTGCGCATGCGCGCAATTCACGAGTTAAAAAAATCAGGCTGTGGAACATTATGAATAACCATAAACATTTTTTAAAGGCGCTTCAAGAAGAAAACAAATTGCAATTTCCTGCTCTGCTGACTTTTCCGAAACACCACTTTAATTTGGCCTGATGGGTTTTTAACTAAAAAAAAAGGACTAAAAAGGAACGAGCTTTAATTTTGCATGAAATTCCGCCAAATATTCTTTTTCTGATCCATTGGCATCTATTGCTCCGCCGTGAGAATATGTTCATTATAGCTTTTCATTATTTTTTCCAGTATGTTTTTTTTTGTTCATATTTCAGGACATTTGATTAAATCTGGCGATAATTTCATTGAAAATGTTGTTTACATTAAGACATACTTTTTCCATCTACAACGTCCTTTACGGAAACACATTTCTACTTGTGTTGCTCATCATCAATGTCCATGTGTACACGTTTCAGGTCGTGTATACACGTCACTACATGTGCACTTGCTGACCAGATAGAACGGCACTGCGGAACTTGCATCTCGATTTACGGGTGTTTAACACTGTGAGAAAAAATATTAGTAATCCAGTACTACAAATTATACCGACGTATATTTCTTTTTCAAACTCAGATTAGCTTTAGCTAACTCACATGTTCTAAAAGGCTTCGTGCGAAATCTGAGACGTACCGCAAAAGATTGACAGACAGCACTGCTAGATGAAAACTTATTTTAAAGTACCTTAAGAGGTCCTCTCACAGTATGCCTAAACACAAGGTCGAACGACTGAATGCCAGAGTGCTGTATTGCCTCGCGTGTAGCAAACAGTAGAAGATGGATACCCTCCTCCCAGTCTTTCATTGCCTCTAATTCGTCGGAAAAATTAGATTCGTAACTACATAAACGACGAAGTCCGAGAAACTGCGAAAAAAGGTATGGAATTCTTTACGTTTAACGGATGCGAATATGAATATAACAAGTAACTATGTGAGTAAAACATGGTAAACACTGTCATCTATTATATCCTCTTAAAGAAATTTTCTCATTTTTCCCGGCAACCACCATTTCTGCCCTTCCAAAAACTTTAAATCTTAAACTGTACTCTCTTTTAGTCCTACCACACCTAGTGTTTGACAAAGTTCAACATCTACAGAATTGTCAGCAAAAACCTTAAAAAAAATGTAAATAAAAATTTCAGTGGATTCCCCTCCTTTGACCCTCCTCTTGCATCATTTTTGACCATTTCTCAAGCAACCGCTGCTCCAGAATGAAAGAGCGTTGTTTTCATATTAAGTACTGTTTCTAGTGCAATTGTTTACATCAGTTGAGGAAAGAAGGGTTTTGACCAAAAGGTAACTTAGATTATAATTATATAGGATTGATCGACTCTTAACCTCTACTGAGAGTTACAGGAGAACGTGGTCTCTTGAAACATGTAAAAAAAAAAGCGATTTTTTGAACTTCCGGAAACTCTTTTTCGCGTAACGTTGGTTTGGTTTTGTCTGTCCTTCGGAAAAGAGGACTAGAGAGATGGGTTAAGATATAATAGATCAATGTCTTGGAGTAAAAGATGTAAACTTGTGTACGGCATCATCATGCAGATAGAGTCAACTCCAAACTTTTCAACACTTTTATTATTAAAAAAAATTAGAGTTATTACATTAACAACGTATCCAAGAAAAAGAGGCTTGAACACGAACCTAGGACCAGTTTCGTTGAGTAATAGTATATGCACGTGAAAACTATCGGGCTTTTGGGCCAAATAACATACTTTCTTGCAGAAGTAATGTACCAAATATACTTTTGATTAGAATACCGTTAATTTTAGGTATACTTTCAGTGTAAAAGTATTTCGAGTTGGTATCGCAAGTAAAGACGGTCTTAGGGAATGCAATTTATGCGCACGATTAGCTTTCCTGCAAACAAGCGGGTTTTGCGGCAAAATTTTTTTTAGCAATTTATTAAAATTGTACACAGTTATGGCACTCAGAGCGAGATCTCATCAATCTTGTAAATTTGATTTTTTCCGCGCTGTCCTGCCTTTCAGAATTGAGCCAGAAAATAAACTGAACTCGAACGCTTGTGTAAGTGCTTAATATGTTAAAGAGAAAATGAGAGTATACTTTATCTGTATAAAAGCGTTTCAGCGTTTAAGAAAATAAAGTCAATTGAATTACAACGTTCCAGCCTAACTGCTTAACATAACATGCCTATTTCTATTAAGTAAGCGTGTAAGGAAAAGATGATTAATCGCTGAAACTTGTTTGGGCGAAGTGTGCAAAATGTTAGCCAGTCACATACTATGGACGTGTATCTAACTACACTGTTAAATCCTCGACGTTTGCATACAACTGCTTGTCGTACATTGCCATGTTGATCATCTTCTGCAGAGCAAAACAATATAGTAATCAGCATTAGTAAAAAAGTGTTCCTTTTACGTAAAAAGCGATTATCCTTAACATTCGTCAGCTTTTTTACATCAAAACAAATTCAAGGAGGAAGTATTTTATGGCTTCGTCGTCTGCTACTCTATGTACTTCTAAATGCATGGTGACATGAATGGTCACATACTCGATTTGATTATAACGAGAGCTCATGAGAAATTAGTTGGCCGCTGTACTGTGGACAATCCTTTTGTTTCGGATCATCTTGCTGTACACAGTTTGTTGGACCTTGCTAAATTACCACTCGAGCGTAAACGAATCTCATATCGCAAGTTTCGTGATATTGATTTTAGCGAGTTTTGTGGTCAGTTGGAGAACACCAGGCTAGTAAGGGATGCTGCTTCTTTTAGTCTCGGCGAACTTGTTTATGAGTATAACACTACATTAAAGTAGTTGTTAGACAGACACGCGCCTCTGAAGACTAAGACCATTACTCTTCGCCCAACCGCCCTATGGTACACTGAGGAAATACGATCTGAAAAGAGAAAACGCAGAGCTCTCGAGCGGCGCTGGCGTTTTTCAAAACGAGAATCGGATTATTCTAGATTTAAGGAACAATGCCTTAGAGTGAACGCTTTGATCAAGAAAACGAAAGTTGACTATTACTCAGGCATTATACGGGAGAGTAGTAATAATCCCCGAACTCTTTTCAATACGGTAAATAAGCTCCTACATAAGCGCGTGCCAGCGGAGTATCCTTCAGGGTGTGCGTCTGATGGTGATCTTGCTAACAAGTTCATTGACTTCTTTAGTGAGAAGATTACAGTTCTGCGAAACTCACTTGACTCCACATCTGATATTGTTGTGGAGTCCGATGGCATTGTCCATCAGTGTGCCTTGTCATGTTTTAAGTCTGTAACATCGTCTGATGTCTCGGAATTACTTAGTAAGATGACCCGTTACTTAGTAAGATGATCCCGTCCCTGCTTCTGTTTTGAAGCAGTGCACTTCAGGTCTTTTGCCTGTTATGACTCAAATTGTAAATAAGTCTTTATGTCTAGCTGTTTTTCCAGACTGTTTTAAGCTTGCATTGTTGAATCCTCTTCTCAAAAAGCCCACACTTGATGTTGAAGTTTTTTCGAATTTTCGTCCTATCTCAAATTTGACGTTCATGTCTAAACTCACTGAGAAGGTGGTGGCATCTCAGTTGATTAATCACATTTCTATTAATGGACTTGATGAAATACTACCATCTGCATATAAACAATTTCATAGTACCGAAACAGCTTTAGTTAAAGTTTTTAATGATATTATCCTAGACGTTGATAGGAATAGGACAGTTATCTTACTTTTATTAGATCTATCGGCCGCTTTCGATACGGTCGATCACATTATACTGATTGAGAGATTAGCAAACCGCTTCGGTCTTTGCGATCTAGCTCTGGCCTGGTTTAAATCATACCTGAGCGGCAGAACTCATTTTGTGAGCATTCGTGGTGCGCGGTCTGTCACGTGTTCGCTGTCGTGCGGAGTACCACAGGGCTCCGTGCTTGGACCGATTTTATACCTGCTCTATACCTCCCCATTGGGGGATATTGTCAGACAGTACAACATGGGCTATCATTTCTATGCTGATGATACTCAGTTGTATCTGTCTTTCAATTCTCTCAGTGGGGATGATCAAGCTTATTCTGTCTCTCAGGTTGAATCTTGTGCTAGAGATATCGACCGTTGGATGTCTTGTAACAAACTTAAGTTGAATAGGGACAAGACGGAACTGCTCGTTATCAGTTCAAAATATCGGCCACGCCCATCTTTAGATAGTATCCTGGTTGGTGATCATCGTGTAGAGCGGTCTGACAAAGCTAGGAACATAGGAGTTGTTTTTGATGAGACCTTGTCACTGGATAAGCATGTGAGTTCCGTTTGTAAATCTGCTTTATTTCATCTTCGGAATATCGCTAAGATTAGAATGTATCTGACTTCTGAGAGCACAAAGACCCTTGTCCATGCTTACGTTACTTGTCGACTGGACAATTGTAACTCGTTGCTCCTCGGGTCACCAGACTATATTATTCAGAAGCTCCAGCGCGTTCAAAACTGTGCCGCACGCCTTGCAGCAGGGCAACCTAGGGCTGCACACATTCGCCCCGTCCTTAAGGAGCTACACTGGTTACCTGTGGAGCAGCGAATTACCTTTAAAGTATTACTGTTAACTTTTAAAGCTCTCAATAATCTGGCGCCTCTGTATTTAAGTCAACTTATAGTCCCATATAACCCTACAAGAAATCTTAGGTCTGCTGGGAAACATTTATTAGAAGTACCGAATGTGCGCCTGAAGAGCTATGGGGACAGGGCCTTTTCGGTCGCTGCCGCAAAGCAATGGAATGATATTCCCTTAGACATTAAATAAAGTGGATCAGTTGATGTTTTTAAATCTAGATTGAAAACTTATCTTTTCAGACTCGCTTTCATTTGACTTTTTGTTTTAGTGTTATTGTTAGTTAGTTATTTTCTTTTTTGATTGTAAAGCGATATAGAGCTTTTGTATATACCGCTATACAAATAAAGTTATTATTATTATTATTATTATTATTATTATTATTTACTTTCTGGATTAGTGGTACCATCAAATAATTTGCATCTATATCGGGTGTTGTCTCTGGGAGTTACTTTCTCGGTGACTAGGGTGGCAGTTGCTTCCATGCTGACTCTCCCCTTATAAGCAGAAGGCATATCTCGATGATTCTGGACAACACCATTCCTTTTAACCAGCATTCGTTTAAATTCTTTCCCTTTTTTACCATCCACCAGAACGCTGAAAATAGTGGCAAAGATTTCATTATTTGGGTCACTCTAGTCCCACACTAGTCTGGCAGTGCTTCCATTATTAATGTAATCTGGATTAGAAGGCGTCATCGTAAACTTGACAATGGCATCTAGTTTAAGAAACAAACGAATTAAGGCAGAATTATTCCAATAAGGAATCATAAGATATTGGCCGCTATTACTGATTAACCTCGTCATAACTATTCACAGGGATCACTCAATCATTGAAATCCGTTTGAGGAATGATTCACGATACCGGAAGTTTGAACTCAAATGTGGGAGAAATGTAAAATTTGTCTCTAAGCATTATAAGCTCCTTCTTTTTAAAATTACTTGGGCGATTAAAAGGGTCTCATGATTCAAATAGAAATGATTATTATTAAGGTTGTTTTCGTCTCCATCATTATCATCATCATCATCACCTTTTAATTTATCTTTCTAGGAAAAAGAGAAAACATAGCATAGCAACTATTAATAGCTAAACCGGGGCAAAAAGGTAATTTAAAGTAAGAATGACTTTTACAGGAACTCTTTTATTCATCTCCTCTGAAACTGAGTGTTATCCATATATGTTCATTATTCAAGTCTGTATTTGCATGTTTTGCCCACTGGTATTGTAATCTCAGATGCTGACACTGACCAAAGTGATTATTACCTAACAATAATCCTAATCATAATAAACCTTGCCGAATCTTCGTCTACGATGAGTTTGATATAAGTAAGCATTCTATGAAATATAAACACGTACTATATCTTTATAAATAAACCGATGTAGTAATCAGCAATTCGTTATAACGCAACAAAAAGGGTAAATCCTTAATTGAGACCAAAACAGATTTATGACTTCAGTTTCCTTTATTGTTTGCTAGGTCTAACAACGGTATGATGAAAATAAAACAACGCTCTCTGTCACATAGATTTCTACACGGTCTTTTTGATTTATCTCTGGTAAACTCAGCGACTCAAGCACAATCGATCCTAAGAAAGTTTTTCAACAAACAATTTTATTTTCCTGTCACAGGAGTTATCGTTGCAGCAATTACTAGATACTTGAATCTTAATAGACGCTTGCACATGACAAAGAGTTTTGCATGCGAGTACTTCTTTTCATGAACTATAGGAAACGTTTTGTAGGTGATGATTCTTGAGTAGGCAATGTGACCCTACTTTAAAAGGTTACAAGGGTTACGCATTGTGACTAAGCGAAAAGTAAACATGTATTCAATTCATCTAGCAGAACATGACGCATATGTTTTATCAAGAGACAGAGCAATTGCTTTGTGTTCTGAAACTATATGAAAAAAGTTATGACCCGATCGCAAACTTAACTTCAGCGGTCACACTGAAGTTAAAGTACTCAGAAACGACAACGAGCTTCATTTCACTAAACTAAGCCAAAAGTACATGCTTATAATGAGTATATAAATCTTAAATGATGAATAATTCTCTCCGATGAACATGCTCTCTTGACTAAGAAATGAAGTTTTTTTTAAAGTCCCGAAATTGAGATAAAAGTTTAATCTTAACTCAATACTTATTGCGTCTTATCCCTTACGCTTTGTGAGGCAAAACCAATTATGTTTCTTTAAAAGGTCGAGTTTTGTCTGATCACTAATGAAATTTACACTTTAGATAATACATTTCAGAACTGTTTAACCTGATAGATTACTCGTCATGATGAATTAGGAAATTTGGCAAAGAATATGCAAACAGAGTTTCCAACTGTGTAGATCAGTATGATGATAAAATGATTGCATTGCCTCTCTTACATGTTTATTGTATAGAGAAATGCGGATCACATGACTTTTCAATATTGCTTAGTTCAAAAAATCCAGTTTAGAAGTTATTATCCTGTGATTCAATATTCATCCCTATTAGCTACATCTTTGTCAGAGTCAGTAAGATGAAGTTTGCGTGAAATAGCGGCGATTGCCCGACATTGAAGTAAACTCGTACTGAAAGTGAAATTGAGTGTTGAACAATCTGAAAACGTTTTTTAGACCAATTTGTTTAAATCTATGTGAATTGAACTGGACCAAATAAAACCAGCTGGTGCTCCAGTCTATTTTTTCAGTCAATCTGGATCTACTTTTGACTGGGAGAGGATTTAGGATGAGAAAATGCGTTTTCACAGGACTGTCACCCTTCAGCATTATTTTGGTATAGTGCTTATTCTGGGCGTCAACTTCCGCCATTTCTCTATTGTCATGGTTTTGATGGATCCTATCTTAAACACAAACCGCACACAAATTTACGACGACAAGTCTTACCTGCCGTAGGAACGATAACAATAGTTGCGAGAAAGAATTGAAGGATGAAATGAACCTTACACATTACTGAAACTACTGTTTCATGCCAAGGCTACCAAATCGAAAGACTATTTAATCAACAATTATAATTTGGTGTTATAAAATCATATGCATGGCATTGTCACCCTCTATTTAATAAATAAAGCAGCCTTGACGATTTTCTGTTCTGGTACACGAGAAGAGTGTAGGGGGACACGTAGTCGAGTGTTTCTTCCTACATTTCTTATACTTCTTTTGCGCTCTAACTGCTCCCTGCGTGCAACTGAACAAGTCATCGGGAAGGTTTCTTTATTTGTCTTATGATAAATAATTCGTAAAATTTCCCTCGCATTACTTTCTATTTCCAAAAATCATCATTTCCGTTTTTTCTGTTGTGTTTTGAACACGAAGCTATATCTACTATAACGGTGTTAGCTGTGTTTGAGTTTTGCTATGATTACTGTATGTACTTAAATAATACTCTACCGAGCGTCCATTTCTATTTCTCTTTGGTGATTTTTGTCTCAGCTCACGTTATAATTTCGTCAATTACCACGCTTCGCATGCTTACAAACCTTTGTTTGGTTTTTCTGTTGCTACGTTCCAGCTCGTTTGTGCCGAAATTTCACTTTCTACCTTCATGTAAATTGTGCTGTTACCGAGACAAGCTTCTGTATCAATTAAAGCTAAGAGCTGGGTTTACATATTCGTTTTACAGGTCATGTAAGACTTGTGTGTCAATTAACGAAAGAAAGCTAGACAAGCTACAAGCTTCTGTATCAATTAAAGCTAAGAGCTGAGTTTCCATATTCGTTTTACAGGTCATGTAAGACTTGTGTGTCAATTAACGAAAGAAAGCTAGAGAGAATCCGGGAAAATAGTCTGCGTTAATCCGCGATATGTCCGAACTTTATTGTCTTGCAAAGTTATTGCTGACGTTATGCAGTCACGCGTGTACTATTTATAACTAATTGCTTAATCCAACTCGACCCACTAAATTACTCCCTACCTGACTGGGAGGAAAAAATAATCTCATTCCATGTGTATCTATCTACGGAACGTAAAATGATAATATGTTTCATCAGCGCCGAGTTCTAACGAAAATCAAATAATCAATACATTCTTTGCAATTCTTAATGTTCTAAACTGCACTTTTCGGTCAGACCTTGTTCTTAAGTCTAATATTAGACTACATCAAATTATGAAAGAAACGCCTCGCTGATTAGAATTACAAAGTAACCGTTTTTGGCCTTAAACATTTGTGAGAATCTTACTTAATGCCAAGGAAATATCAATTGCATATTTTGCATCTCCCTTTAAAAATAAGTTTACGAATGAAGAGATTGAAAAAAAAAATTGAAAGAAAACAGAAATGAGAAAAACAAAAACAGGATTTTCTTGTGAAAAGATCTGGCCCCGGTTGTTCGACGGTTGGATAACGCTCTCCACTGAATAAATCTCTATCCAGTGTATAGCGCAGCACGTTTTCTTAGCACTTTTATCCGCCCTTTCAACAATTAGGGCCTGAACATCAAGTGGGGTGGATATTGACGACAACATGATAAAAAATTAGTTACATGGAGTTTTTTTCATAAACAACTAAAGCCGGCGGAGAATAGACTGTTAAGAAGAGTAGCCCTTCAATAGATTTTAGAGGCAGTAAATGGTTTCGACCAAAAATGCTGCTTACATTTTTACTGGATTGTCGTAAAATACAAAACAACAACAAAGCATGGATCAACATTATAAATGGAAGCTCTTCACCTACCCAATTTGTTTTAGCTTGAACTGGCTACTCTTTTCCTGCAACTGGATTGTTTCAGTAAGAAAGAAAGATTCAATGGACGCTTTATAAGAAACCAACAAGATCCCTCAGTCTGTCAGGATGATGAACAACCCCAAACCAATCAAAGCTTGACCAGAAACTTTCTTCAAAAGAGAATATACTCTTCTTTTTCAAGGTGAAATCTCCTCCGTTGTATCTCATTCCACCATCTAGCACTAACTCAAAAGAAAACTTTCATTTCTTAATGGGAGGAGGAGAGAGTCATGGATTTATTGTCACCACTGATAGAGGAAACGTTCTACACCAGCTAGTGCGCTAGTCGGAAAAGGAGAGTAGATGGAGTCGACTTCGCAGTTTTGGCCACGTCATTCCTCCATTCGCTCTGACGAAGGGCTAACGCTCGAAACGTCCGCTTTGAAACTATCCACAGTGGCCAATTTAGATTGGTTGAATGAGAAGTGCTCGTTGATACCGTGGGTATTAAGATTGCCGATTCGAAAGACACTTTTTTGTAGTTACGGTCTAATCTTAACGACAGAAACAACACTATACTTCTATAAACTTTACTACTTTATTAAGTGACGATTAATATTCTTATATAGGAGCGACTCTGATAGACAGTACAGTAATTCTCCTCAATAAACTTACTTAGGCCCACTACAGTCTATTTTTAGAACAATAAAAACAAACTGGATGTTACACACCATCATCATCCTCTTGTGACAACATGGCACAAACTGCGACATCACTTGCAACGACAGTCAACTTTAACGGAGAGCTGAAATCAGGCGCTGTCAATACAGGGGCACTCTGTAACATAACTCTCCACAAATGCGTTTTCACATCGTTCATTCCAAATAAATTTTACCTTCTTACTGAGCAATTGCGTCAATAGTTCTGCAACAGTGGCGAAATTAGAGCAAAACCCTCTGTAATAGCCAGCAATACCAAGAAAACGCATGAGTCCTTCCTTGTTCTCTGGTTGTGGACAGTGAGCTATCGCTTCCAACTTGGCACAAACTGGTTTTACTTGACCTTGTCCAAGGACATGCCCCAAATAAGTGACTTGTGCTCGGCCAAACTCACTTTTGGAGAGATTGATGATCAGCTTAGCTCCACTCAATCTTTCACGGATGGTCCTTAAGTGTTATTCCCACGTGTCATTGTAGATAATCACATCATCTGTGTATGCTTCGCAATCCTTGACATCTGGGATGACTTTGTTGATAAGGCGCTGAAAAGTAGCAGTTCAATCTTTCATACCAGTGGGTATGACTTTGTATTGGTACATCCCTGCCGGTGTTACAAGGCTGAAATCTCCTTAGCGCGGTCTTTCAAAGGAACTTGCCAGAATCCTTCAGGAAGGTAGAATTTCGTTACATATTTGGCTTTTCCAACTTTGTCGATAAAGTCGTACATTCCTGGGATAGAAAAAGTGTCTGCCTTAGTCACGCTGTTTACTTTTCTATAATCTGTAAAAATCGGTTAGCCTCCATTTGGCTTGGGAAAAAAGTATGCTAACTCTAACTACTACTGCTCAGTTCAATGAAGTCGTTCTCAAGCAGATCCTATACATCTTCCTTGAGGTATTATTGCTTACTTGGATTTAGCCTTTACGGGAGTTGTTTTAAAGGAGCAGCATCACCAACATCCACATCATGGCAGATCTGATCTGTCCTGAAGGGGAAATCAGGAAACAGTTCTTTATACTCGTGCAGTAGCTTCTCCAGGGCCTGGATTGAATCTTCTCCAGGTGTGAAAATTTGGAGTCCAAGTTCCGCAGCACATTGGAGATGACTACTATTAAACTCACTACTAAATTTTCTCGGAAACAAAATGTTCTCAGAAACTAGGTATCAGAAAAAAGTACATTAAACTGTGCAGGCTCTTCATCTAGATTTTCACTTCTCTCTACATAAGGCTGTAACATATGAATGTGACATAACTGTGCCTATTTACGCCCATCTGGAGTGACCATTATATAATTAAGGTCATTTAACTTCTGAGCGAGATAAGGTCCAACAAATCTAGAATGAAGCTCGTTACTGGGTGCCGGAAACAACACATGAACCTTTTCGCCTGAGTTAAGTTCTTCAGCATCTACACCATCCCTCTCTTTCATAGATTTCTGAGTCGAACTAGATTAGTTTAAGTTAACTTACATGCTCTAAAAAGCTTAGTACGAAATCTGAGACATACTGCAAAAGATTAACAGACTGGACTGTTAGATAATAACTCCCTTTAAGGAAACTTAAGAGGTCTTTGTAGTGACGACTGTGATTCTTCAGACATTTCATACCCTCGTCCCAGTCTTTCTCTGTTTCGAAGCCACGTTTAACGAAAAACTGGCACATTGCCTCTGATATGTCGGAAAATCACAGTCGTCACTAGACAAACGACGAAGTCTGAGAAACTGCGAAAAAGGAATGGAATTCTTCACGTGTAATGGACGCGAAGATAAGTACAACAAGCAACTATGTGAGTCCGTAGCTTTAAAGTAAACCCTACTGGATAGACCGTTGCCTTCAATTGAAAGTTTGATGGCTAAAAAAGCCAAAGAAGTGTCAGAAATTTCCCAGGTATATTTCAGGGCCGGGCGAAAGGAATTAATAGCGTTTATTAAATGGGTCAGCTCATATCTGGTAGAGGAGGTGGCGCCAATACAGTGGTTTATGTAGCGACTGTAGAGTTCAGGTTTGGGGCCAATGTATTGACTGAAAAATTGGTGTTCGATAAAACTTACGAAACGACTGGCGTAGGTGGGTCCAATTTAGATATCCATGGCTGTTATTCTCTCCCACCGGCGCAGCAACACAGTTTCGTTAGAAACGTATCCTCTTTATTCATTAAAAGTATTTTTCCGCTACGTGTAGCCTTTGAGTTTGGGTTAGGGTTTGATCAAATTCTTGATAAACATATTTTTTTAAATACGTAGAGTTGAGCGTCTCTGCAGCTAATGCTGTCTTTAGACACGCAACACTCTTTCAAACATTTTTTTTCGGGGAGGGGGAGAGGGATCGCATGCTCTTAAGGTGGAAGGGAGAGGTATCAGTCGCCTTTAACAGTATGGAAAATGGAGTGTTTTTTTATCCCATTCACCTCCCACCTCCAAACCCCCCACCCCCCTCTTTTCTTCCCTCCTTTGGTTACTTAGGTTTCCTGATAGGGTTAGGTATTCACATTACATTGGTAGAATGTAGAAAACCCTTGTATTGTGTAAAGGTTGTGGTTATTCGTCGTAGTGAATGACAATAAAAGCTAAGTTTTTCGTTTGTCTCACAATGTAGTTACGTGTAATGTAGATCGCGACGTTTCGACTGCATACTGCTAGTCTTTTTCTGGCGATAGGTCGACTGGTCGTGCGTGGTCCTATAAAGCATGATGCTCTGCTGTTATTAGTTGTTTTTCAACAGCTCTGATTAGTGCATTTCGATCCTTGCTCATTCATTCAGTGATTTGCTCCCTCGGCGGTCCGTTGTCGCACAGCTCTCCTGTTGTTGTGTTTTTTGATCGTGGGCATCCACGCTTCTGGAATTTCTATTCCACTTTCCCCGTTGATTTTGTCAGGGTTAAGTCTTACATGAATTGCCTCTTTGACCCTGCGCGTATAGTGATAAGGGTCACGATCAATAAACTTTACTTCGTTCCAGAGTGGCTTGTGTCCTGTGTTGTGGGCATCCTTTGAAACGGGGAATCCTGAAAACTAAGCCATACAGGATTCCTTGTGAATGTGGCATGATGTACATCGGAGAGACTGGAAGACCTATGCAAGACAGAATTAAGGAGCACGATCGAGACATCCGACTCGCCCCTACCGAGACCTCCACCGTTTCAGATTTATCCAAGTATAGCTCAGCAAGTAAGGCGATCACTTTCTTCTGTACATTAGAAACGAACTAGAGCAAATGCTACTCAACGTTATATCGGTAACAAAAGGTAAAAGTCAAAACGTACATTGCAACCTTATTGAACGATACTTACCTTTGAAGTTTCACTTAAGGAGTTCGCACTAACTCCGTTCGCTACCATGCAGCAAAACATTTGTAACTGTGCACAAAACTTTAGGATAGGCATGACCTTTTATTGATTTTATCGAATGTTTGTCTCAGTAGGGTCGTAACTGGTAACTCGTACACTCGGAGCGAGGAATTAAGGTCAGAATATTAAAACTAAAGCTATCCTCGACTAAAAGCTTTGCTCCGTTCCAGTGAAACAAAACAAGTGAAAAACAGTGCAAAAAAATTATATTTTTCGCTTGTTGATGGAACTCGAACACACCTGAATGCTTGTCTCGTAAGTATTGTATGTCGTACCCTTTAACGTGTCTTGGATCGGAGATTACTGTATTTTGTGTCCGGCTGAGTAAATTGCTTAGCGTTGAATTTTAATTCAGCTTCGGACGTCACTTAAACGCTGTTTATGTGTTTCAAGTTTTGCTGTTTTGACGACCAGATGCGACATTGACTTCTGGTGGCTTTTATTTGGAAAAAAATTGAGAGTTAAAACAAACTTAGTAGACTCCGACAGCATTTTAAAAAAGTGAGATATTTAATAACTCAACAATTCCATTGGCTCTGGTTGGATACGAGATTAGTATACCCAACCCATATCAAGTGCGCGCTCATGGAACAATTGTTAAATATAGTGCACATAATATTGTACGAACGAGATTGGTTCTTCGATTACGGCTTACGTCCATTTTTTAAGCAAGACCACTAAATGAAAAAATTGCAGAGACTTGGAGTCATTAGCCGGTTCGTCGCGTTCAGTTGGTAAAACTGAAGGAAATAAATGAGCTGCGCGGTAGTGGCAGCGAAGCAATACGCGACCCGACCCAAACCCATATACCTAAATATATATATAAGTTTTCAAGAAGTTTGTGAACTCCTCGACATGTGGGTGACCAGTGGCGTTCACGACAAAAGGTAAACCTTAAAAAACTTTCAGCTGTTGTTCACTTATAAAGCTAAAAATATTTAGATTAGCAGTGTACAGAAGTTTTTGTGTTCGTTTTTTGTGTTTTGTGTTTAAATCTCGGAAGTTAAGTGACACCCCTAGCGAAGTGCGAGAGAAGAGGATGGAGACCCTCTCTAGGGTTCTCATTGTAATTGCACATTTTGCGAGAGAGTACCAATTGTTCACTGCTGAACACAGCTGTTAAGGTATGATTTAACTGGCAGAAATAACTCTCATGATACTCCTACAAACTCAACTACCTTTTCAGACAAAGTGTAATATTCTCACCAAGGAGCGACTCCTAAGGGCAGTACAGTAACTATCCTTTGTAAACTTACTTAATCCCACTACAGACTGCAACCTAGCTCACCAATGACACAATCTTTGCGTCAAAAGATTTACTCATTCTTCCTTTCAACCACCATTTCTGCTCTTCCAAAAACTTTAAATCTTACAATGTAGGTTCTTTTAGTCCTACCACACCTTGTATTTGACAAAGTTCAACATTTGCAGAAATGTCAGCAAACACCTTTAAAAAAATGACATAAAAATATCTGAGAATTCATTTTGCAGAGCTAAGACGACCTCCCTCTCTCCTCTGTATGCTGGAGCATCATTTTGCTCCCAAAACCAAAATAACGTAATTCTCCTTCATTTGAACGTTAAGACCATTTCTCAAGCAACCTCTGCTCCAGACTGAAAGAGCGTTGTTTTTCATTAGGTACTGTTTCTAGTGCAATTATTTATATCAGCTGAGGAAAGGGTTTTGACCAAAAGGTAACTTAGTTTATAATTATGTAAGATTGATCGACTCTTAACCTCTGCTGGAAGTGACTCGAGAACATGGTCTCTTGGATGTAAGTCTCCTTAAACATGTAAAAGAAAGTGAGTTTTTGCACTTCCGGGAGCTCTTTTTCGCCCAAGTAACGCTGGTTTGGTTTTGTCATCTTTCGAAAAAGGGATCCAGAGAGATGGGTCACGATATAATAGATCATTGTCAGGGACTGAAAGATGTAACCTTGTGTTCGGCATCACCAGGCAGACAAGAGTCAACTCCGAACTTTTCAACACTTTTATTATCAGAAAAAAAATTAGTTATCACATTAACAACGTATCCAAGAAAAAAAAAGGCTTGAACACGTATCTAAGACCAGTTTCGTTGAGTAATAGTATCTGGTACGCAAAAAACTGTAGGGCTATTAGGCCAAACAACAAACTTTCTTACAGAATTAATGTGTTACGTATAATTTTGATTAGAATACCGTTAGTTTTACTTATAAGTTCAATGTAAAAGTATTTCGAACTGGTATCGTTGGTAAAGGCGGTCTTAGGGAAAGAAATTTATGCACACGATTAGCTTTCCTGCAAACAAGTGGGTTTTACGGAAAAATGTTTTTAGCAAAGCGAGAGCTCATCAATCTGGTAAATTGCATTTTTTTTTTCTCCGCACTGTCCTGCCTTTTAGAATAAGCCAGAAAATAAACTCAACTCAAACGCTTGTGTCGAGCATACGTGTAAGTGCTTAATATGTTAAAAAGAAAATGAGAGAATAATTTATCGGCAAAACTTAAAAAAGCGTTTCAGCGTTTAAGAATGTAAAGTCAATTGAATTACAACGTTCCAGTCTTACTGCTTAACAAACATGGCTATTTCTACCTAGTAAGCGTGTAAGGGAAAGATGATTAATCCATGAAACTTGTTTGGACGAAGTGTTCAAAATGTTAGCCAGCCGTACATTGTGGACGTGTATCTAACTACACCATTAAATCCTCGACGTTTGCATACAACTGCTTGTCGTACATTGTCATGTTGATCAGCTTCTGCAAAGAAAAATAATATAGTAATCAGTATCAGTAAAAAAGTGTTCCTCTTGAAAAGAGGTTATTCTCAAAAGTCGTCAGCTTTTTTTACGTCAAAACAAATTCAAGGAGAAAGTGTTTTATGGCTTCGTCGTCTGCTAATCTTTGTGCGTCTCATCCTATGATCTTTTAAATAACCACGTGTCAATTGTCATTGAGACGTTCTAGTTCGCTTCTTTGCTTCAGTGACATAACAAGAAGATGCGATCCAAACTTCGTTAAAATTACAGAGATGGTACAAATTACTACGCTATCTAGGCTCAATACTGTTAAGCTTAATCCTAATTAGCTGAGCCTAAGCCAGTCGGTCCTTCGTGAAAAAAAACCTTTCATGTTGATCAAAATTCTCACCTTGTGTAGGGTTTCCATTTCCTTGAGCTGATTTTTCAATTCAGTGAAAGTTGGTCTTGCATCTGGGTCATTCTTCCAGCATTTCATCATGATCTGATACCTGGTAATGTTCAAATGATCTGTTAAAGATTTAAAGAATGTTTCCTCATACGATGAGGGAGAACGAGTGAACAAAGAAAACTTACAATTTTTCATCGACGTGTTGTGGTTTAGGCATCCTGTATCCATCCTGAAGTAAGTTTGCAATTTTTCTTCCATCCATTCGTGGGTATGGTGAGCCGCCTGGAAGAACCATAAGACCATCGAAATATAAATGTGACGAAAAACAGACCGTCACTGAAACACGACCAGTGTCACTTGATGGAGTTTGAGGTTTTGGGCATGGGGAAGCTCTTTACGTTTGTCTAACTGAACGCGATACCTTGTAAATACGCAGCAAAAAAAAAAGAAAAAGAAACCAAACATATCGTTATAAACTTCTATTCGATAATACCTATGGTGAAAATCTCGTACAGCAAGACTCCATAACTCCATCTGTGGAATTACAAATCAAATAAATATAAATTAGGTGACTGAAGACATTAACATTATATGTGACAACTAAAATATGTATATCCTTTGACAAAGCATAGAATTGGAAAATTGCTAAGGGTAATTATCGGGTATACTTACACGTCACTTTTGGTGGTATATTTACCATACAACAAGGCCTCATAAGCTGTCCACTTCACGGGAAGACGGCCCTAAAGATTTTAAATATCACTTTGTGAAACAGCTCAAAAATCATAGGAAGCGACTAGTCAAAGACAGTGATATGTAAAGTTGTACACGTATACGCATTGCTAATTTTTTCATTCGGTTCCCTTCCAAGGAATTCATGATCAAAATCAGGAATATATCAGCTTTACCACAACAATGATCCTGAAAGATCACTAAACTGAACGACATGTAGTACCATCCCCACCTCCCTCCCCTCTTTCTTAATTACCTTAGTCTTTCGTTCATAAATATTTTCCTGCTGCACATCTCTGGCCATTCCGAAGTCGGTCACTTTACAAGTTTCCTTTTGTCCAACCAACACATTACGGGCCGCAAGGTCTCGGTGAATGATCTAAGAAAGAATTGGTGCAACAGCAAAAATTAGCGATTGCAGAAGAAAAATAACTGATATGAAATGGTTCAGGTAGGAAAATAGAAACGTCTAGCAACATAATATGGTGTGCGTATTTCTTTTCTTCCAGAGGGCAGAGAATTAAATTCACTATAATTACTGCCTCATATTCCAAAGAGAGGCAAACTACTTTATTTGTGCAATACGTAGTTATTTCATAGAACGCCTATCTTAAGTTTTTAATCTAAATAGGATTCTATAATGTGGCAGTTTAGCGACCAAAGACGAATTTTTGAATTTCAAGTTTTAATTCCTTCTCTTTCTTGTCACTAAAATGGATATTTGTTGAACACTTAGTTTGGGCTGAATATCTTAAAAGATCCTATCCATTCACATCTCTGCCTCTGCATACACGAGAAAAACACAGGTACTTTATTTCAATGGGGCGCATTTGCAACGATGCACAAATATCGCCATTCGCACATTGAAATAAAACTTAGACGATGACTTCAAAATTGTGAGAGTTCCTGGCTCTAAAAAAAATAGCGTCAACAACACGGTAAGAGTACGTTTGCATCTCCCGGGCGTGATCTTGTGAGACATAACATTCTATGCAAGACAAAGCTTAATATGACGATACAACTTACAAGAAGGCTTTAGAATTGTTTGTCATTTGTGTTTTTTTTTTCTCAATTAACTTACAGATTTTGAGGACAAGTAACTCATTCCATCTGCAATTTGCCAAACAAACTTCATCAGCTGCTGTGACGTCAGATTTGTTTGTGGTTTGATATCCGGGTCTTTGTAGTAAGTGTCATTTAATCCACGGCTCTTCCTCAGGTAACCCAGCAGATCCCCAAAAGGCACATATTCAATCAAAACCAAAAGCTGTTCTGGAAAAAAAATCAGCGCTTTAAATGATATATTACCCTCTAAAAAAAAATTAGCAATAAATACAATAAATGAATAGCCCAGTCGTGGTCAATACTTTTGAAGAAATCGCACGAAAATAAGATGTAGTTTAACGAAAAGAAGGAGAAAAAAAATGTAACGGTCTAATAAGAGGGTAAAGACCAAATATTCTCTTCAAAAACGCGTTTCCGCTTACACAACAGAATGGTCTGTTCAGAGGCAAATATTTGGTCTTAGTCTATCAGTAAATCCAGGAGCGTCTATGTCGGTTAAAAAAGATAAAATTACCTCATGCGATGGTTTTTTGTTGTGCTTCATTGTGAAGCAGTGACTCTTCCATTGAGCAAATTATTAATGACGAGAAAACGTCACAGAGTAAATCATAAGCAAAATGTGCACAAAAAAATTAGACCCGCATAACCAAAGCATACCAGATTTTGTAACACATCCCAGAAGTTTAATGACGTAAGGATGTGGTTTCAGCTGCTTCATTGTGTCAAGTTCTTTCATCAAATCTCTCTTGTCTGATTCAACAGCGTTTGCTAGAGCGTAATAAACAAGGAGTAAAATTTGGTTAGAGGGAAGGTAATGCGAAATGCCGAAACAATAACATACGTTATAATCATGAAATGGTAAATAGCTAAAAAATACGGTAACTCGGTAAAATTTCCTGAATTACTGAAGGCCAAGACTGTCATTCAATTTACGGTACAAAAGCTCACTTTTCAGCATTTTAATAGCCACTGTGGTCGTTTCAGGACTCCCTCTAAGTCCTACCGCTGTTCCCTTGGCAACCTGACCAAAAGCACCTTTACCAATGATTTTTTCTATGGTCACGTGATGTCTTGGAACTTCCCAGCAGCGTGTTAACGGATGAAGAGGCACATAATCAGCACCTGGAGCTGTTCTTTGTGCTTTTCTATTATCTTTATTGACTTCTATGAGATCCATGTATTCCGCAGGAGGCTGAGTGAGTTTTCTTGAATCAGGTAGACTTGGTTCGATATCTTCTAATCCTGTTTCATTCTATTAAACCAACATGCCGTTAAGGTATTCACATACAAATCTGTTATTAATCCCAGAAAAAAGTTCCACATAGTTATAAAAATCAGTTTACCCAATTTCATCACAGAAACCTTTACATTCTTGCACAGCAAAATATTACAAATAGTTTATAATCTCTATTATCCTTATTATTACTAACAATTTGTCCTCTGCTTTTGAAACCATCATATCCAATGAAGTGATTGAGGTTCATAGCATATTTGCCGAAGCTAGAAACTGCAACATGAAGATTGTCGATTGGTAGTGAAACCTTTTCACAAATACACGCACAAAAGAAAACTCCTGCTGTACTCAGCTCTTAGAATTACGTTTGGTAAAAAAAAAGGCATCAAGAAAATAAGACGGCCAAAAATTCGAAAAAACAATTATTTAAAAAGCAAATATCAACCGGGGGCAGACCAGTTATCGATCTATGAAGTGAAGCCACGCACTTGAACCAGGAACAACCCAAGGAAAATCCTTGGAGTACCTTGTTAAAGGACATGAACGCAGGACAAAGACCTTATCGAATCTAACTTCCTCCCCTATTTCATTGTATCCTCTACTAATGCAATATGCTTTTTTTTCGTAGACCTACACGTTTTTTCCTTCTTATTGTTGCAAGCTTTTTTTTTCTTGTAGAAAGTAGAGGTAATATGAAATCACATAATTTCTGGCCACACTAACATGACCTCAATGTCTCAGCTGTTACTTACGTCGTAAACACCTCTTTCATCTTCATAAGTCCTACAATTGATAAAGCATACGAATATTTATAAAAAGCTGAGAATTTCATCAGCTTTAAGTGGAATTTTGTGTCAAGATGAAACCATATCTGGCACATTACATCGACACAATCCAAGTGGCAGCAAATTCGTACCTCTGTTTCCCTACAGCGACTGAAAAAAGAACGAAAGGAAAAAAAGACAAATGATGTGGACGTGGGTCAAAGTTTGCTTTTGTATAAAAATGAATCTTTCAGCCAAACCCTCTAACACAGATTATGATTTTTTTTACTTACCTTTCCTGTGTAGCCAGATTATGTAAATAATTAGAAGAAGGATTGTGAAGGCAAGAACCCCAATTATGGCTAACAAGACGTTGTTAGATGGGCAGTTACATTCCTCAGGACCTAAAATGGTTAATTATACAAAGCTTGATCAAGTAACGTTCAAACAACATTTGCACTGATCCTGGTCGATAAACTGCTCTCACTACATAGCTTAGGCTAATGACCAAAAGTCTAACTCTCATTGGCGAGGTACTAAAGAAAAGTAAGGTGCTAATCTTTCTATAATAATTTCTAAAAGTAATATTTTGTTCAATTGACTAAACACAACAACGACAAAAACAAAAACCGTAGAAATACATCACTCACAGAAACGAGTTGTTTAATTACACAGATACGGAATACAATTAGAAAAAGGCCGTTTTCGGAAGAATACGAGTAAAAATTTAACACTCTGACATGTTTTGATGCTACTCTGGTTAAAAGATTTAATGAACAGGCCATTTTACAGTTGTGTACTTGGTTGCTAATCCTTTGATTTGGAGTGAGGCTGAAGTTGACCATGTAATGATAGAGACAAGTATCTAGTTAGTATGATAACAAAGTCATTTACACTTGAAAAGCTACTAGGTTTGTATCATAACAAGATCACCTTCAGCCTCACTCCTGTTCAAAGGCTTGGCAACCAAGCATGCAACTGTAAAATGGACTGAAAGTAACCGAGAAGTTACAGTTCATAGACCCAACGTTGTCAACACTCATGTCTCACCGCCTTCGTCATGGGTGATCTAATCGTTGCACAAAGAGGTCTTTTTACACGCTCACTAATTGGCTGCCCTTTTTTCTGGCGAGGTGTAAATATGTGTCAGGCAGTAAGCCACCACCATCGCAAGGAGCGTGGGCAGAGTTGATATGCCAGGCTTCCAAACAAGGACGCTGGTGGTAACATCGATAAGTGGTGATAATTTTGAAATTATCCCACCCAGTTGTATGGTTAGTTAGGCATGTGTGCTCCGACAAAGCTGAATTTTCTTTCTCACGAAAGGAGACCAGTTTTTGATGCTCTTTCAAACGTATACCAAAGTGACGTTTGGTCAGTCCGATATACTCGTGATCACAGCCATTGCACGGAATAGAATAAAAAGCGTCTGTTAGTTGTTCATTTGTGATTGGATCCTTAGGTTTGGCAAAAATATGCCCTTAGGTCTGAAAAGGTTTTTGATAACCATAAACGTTTGGGCTATTCAAAATTCTCTTGATTGGTTCCGTAACACCCTGAATGTGAGGAATAACAGCAAAGAAAGCCGCTGGTTCCTTCTCATCAGGAGTATTACTGGTTGTAACTTCATTCATTAAATCTTTAAACCAGAGTAGCACTAAACCATGTCTGATTATGCGCCTGGTTGCTTTGTGAACTTTAATATATTTAACAATTTCTTTGTTATTCTTACCTTTTGTCGTACTTTCCAAGCCGTCTGTAGGGATAAAAAACTCTATTTTAGAGCTCAGTGAAAGTAACTGACAGTGGTTAAAAACAATAGAGTTCCTCTCTGGTGGAAAAAGTAGTGCTGATACAGTGATCAACGTAGCGACCCCAGAGTCCAGCCCCCCTATTTACGCCTGATGGATGGCTTTGTCTCTTTGTAATGCGTTTGCATGTCAAGGGTCGCTTCCCTGTCATTATAAATAAGTCCCGTATAGGACTGTAATTTCTGAATTTGATATTATTCATACAGCCATCTGCTGTAACTGCTGCCGTTTAATTATTATCATTTAATTAACTTGTTAACTGAAATGTAGTAATAAAGTACCCTGCAAAACAACTTCTCGTACATCAGCTAATAGGCCTCTGGTTGGCGCACAAATATCAACCACGACTTAAGTGAACTTTTTACATTGATTCAGGTTTTTGCAAGCGAAGAATTCACCCATAAAAACCTCGATATTGATGAGACGGAGAGAGCATGAAAACTAAGAAAAGAAAAGGATAAACCTTTGAAAGTAGAAAATAAGATTCAATTAAACATACTTCCTTCTGCCTTGACTTGCTGGATATTTGCTTTCTCTTGTTTCAGGCTTTCACCAAGCTCATTAGTTGCAGTAATGGCAAACTGATACACCTTTCCTCTCTCCAACACTATTTTCAATTCTCTCACAGAAACATCTCTGATTTTCTTTATTTCTGTCCACTGTCCCACTTTCCCATCAATCACCACTCTTTGGTACACTGTATACATGGTAATAACTTTTCCATTACTTTCTGGCTCCTTCCACTTTAGGGTAATTGTATCGTCTGATGTTTCACCTGGTAGTTCGTCTATTTCGACCACATCTGGGACTCCTAGATTGATTTCAACAACACGTACAGCGTGAAATTTCTAATAATTATATAACTTCTTGTTACAAACCTAGTCACAACCATTATCAGTGATTAAATAATCTGTAAATTGTTCGAGGATTATTTTGGGATATTTTTAAAACAAAAGCTTATATCAAGCGAAATTATGTTAAGTACTGAGATGAATTCAAAATAGCTTGAAAGGACAATTCGCCATTCATTTGTGGCACGTAATTACAGGAAGGAACTCAATTTACGTGCACCTATTTTCTGCTTTTGACAGTTTGACATTGCGCATGACTTAGTACAGGCACTCGGCAATGACACAGCGTAAAACTGAGTGCACATGCTCCGCTTCCCGAGCCATTTGATTGTCCAGGGCTTCGGCTCTTTTTTCTCCAAACATAAGCTGACACGGGATTTTCCGTTGAGACAACAAGCTTTTTTCTCCAGGGAGTTTGCCAACTGAGGAGGCGATAACAAGAAGAACTAAAGCGATAACAGGTGCGAGGAACTTCGCAGCCATGTTACGACTGCTCAGCCGTAACATAGCATGGTAAAAGGCAAACAATACTTGATAAAACAGGTAGCATTTACAGAATGTAGCCGCGTAGGTTGTCTACTGTTCTCACTCATGTTTACATGTGGTTTATTTATTATTATGCTTCTTCAAACGTAGGTAAACTCGCTAAGGAGGAGACAAACACTTAAAATCAAAAATCTTATCATGCGGCAAGCAGATAACATTGTTAAAACTGGGACAAATCTAAGTTTGCAGCAAAATGATTGGTGTAAAGTGCTCAGTCACGAAATCACTTGTGATTCCTCACCTTCAAACTTGGTCTTAATTGTCCTTACAGTAGGGTCTCCCTCGAATACAAAATTTCTGGAAAACAGTTTCACCGTGTAGTTGGTATTTTTCTCCAAACCACGAAACGAGTAACTTGTCGTCCCAGGATTGGTGATATCATCCTTTTCTATCTCAGTTTCACCCTTTTGTAAGATCATTCGGTATCCTGTAATCGGACTTCCTCCATCATCAGCTGGTGCAGTCCATCTTATTGTTATAAAAGTTGCTTGAATCAATGATTCTGATGATTTGATGGATGCTTTCCCTGGTTTCTCTACATAGTGCCATAAAAAAAATGATTTTGCAAAAAAAGGAGGAAGGAGAAATTTTTTGGGTGATTATCATACAGTATGTCCTTGTATTATCATAGTTTAATGTACACGTAGCTACCAGATAAATTCAACCAAGAGCCTAAAAAAGGGGAACAATTAAGAGTCCATGGTGGAGGATGTTTCCTGCGGATACACGCATGAGGGGATATCAAAAAGGTACCTTTCAGTATGCCTCATTGGGGTAACGAACGCGAAAAATATGTGAAGGTCTAACGCTGCTAAAGAGGGGAAAAATGCGAACGGGACGCTCAGCGGCCAAATTGTTAGAAAATGAAAAAAATAGTAGAATGATAAATCTATTATTCGATGTGTGAACATAAGCTTAAATTTTTACACACATTTATGGACCTTACAAATTATCCACACGTATTATACTTTAAATAATCGAATGACTTGTACAAAGGGAATGAGTTACCTTGTCGAGTACTTTGTAAGAAAATTTGGCTTTTACTTCTATTACACCTGAAACAGCGATAGTGAGCAAGATGCAGACCTTATATATAGTTTTCTTCTTATCAAAATACACTGACCTTTTTTACTTACTTATCTGATTTATCTTTATTAATTTCTCATCAGATGGAATGAGTCCATTAGCAGCAATGCACTTGTAATGACCAAAATCTTGATCACCCCTGAATGGCACTTGTACTTTGTTTTCTCTGGCTGTGACTCTGTTTATTTCACTTCCTTCAGGTTTGTACCAATAGAGTGTTGGTGTAGGAACACCATCAGAAAGACATTTCAAGCTCACTGTCTGGCCAATCCAAGACTTCTTAGATGACGTTGTGACATTTTGAATTGTGGGCGGGTCTAAGAATAAATACTAATGCAATAAGCAACTGAACAAATAATTGGTGATACTTCATATCAATCAGAATGTTTATGAGCTTTATCATACCTCCACTGTGTCATTTTACTAAATGAAATTATGAGAAGAGGGAAAATATGCCACCGTATTACACTTTAGAACAAGGCAAAAATACGCAGCAACATTGGTCGCACTGAACGATCCAAACAAGCTGGGCATTATTTTTAAGCAAAGATGTGGGTCACGACTTCAAGCCGATAAATAACTTATTAATCCTCTCTTTTCCCTCTCTCTCCTAAATTGCTTTGAATGCCAGCAGAATATTGCTTTAGAAATGAATTTTTGGTAGAAAAATTTTGTCATTAAATGGGTTGACTCGCGGCCTAAAAACCGTTTGTAATTAATTTCAAGCCTTCACAAAAAGTAACTCAGAAAGTTAAAACTTAAGGTATTTGTTTAAAATTGAATCAATTAATTTCATTGATTCAATAGCAGAGCACAGCGTAGCCCATACCTATAAAAAAACAGTAGTAATAACAGTAACTCATCCAGCCGGAAAATTTTGATTGTACGACCAAAATAGGGCAGGGTATGAATAGGAATTACGTAAGTAGAGGGGAAACAGAGCAAGTAATGCGCACGTGCGATCGAGTGCGTACCTCGGAAATCCCATTTATTTGGATTCGTGTGCACTAAAAAACTCAAGTAAAAAGTAGGGTTATTTAGTATTTTCAAGTGAGTTGATAACGTAAGTTAGCTACCGTAAAGAGTTACCAAGCTGGCTTTTCAATATGTCAGCTTTTTAACTCTTTACGGTGGCCAATTTACGTTATCTTGTGCGTGAACACCCTTTGGTTGGAAGGTGGTTGAAAGTCCAAATCAGGAGGCTTAGGAGGGGCTGCAAAAACTTGGAGACTAGGTTTTTAATGTCCATCTTCAAGCCAGCCTGGCTGAAGAAGATGCAGGGGGCTTAACTACAAGTATAGCGCTTGCATGCAGCCCAGCCACCACCCTATTCTAGGATGGGATGCAAATCTCTCTTTGTGGGAAATTTTAATTTTGATAAGGTTTTTTCTTGGATATTGACTTGGTGTGTTTTGGTGAATTTGTGTAGATATAAATACACCTGTTTGCAGTTTGAAAATATAAACAATTTTCTTTTCTTATCAAAAAGGCGAGGCATGATACATGTATATTTCACATCGAGAAAACACAACATTTTTATAGTGCGAAGATGAAACAAAGACTTGACATCAGCTATTGTGCTGTTCCTTTTTCCTTATAATTTATTCTGTTGTCACCTTTTTCTTGGAATAAAAGTGTATTTATTTCTTGGAATTTTTCAATTGCAACGTTTTGAAAATGGGTGTATTTATGTACAGTCAAACCTGTATTGAGCGGTCACCCACAGGACATTGCACTCCACAGAATAGGGTTAATATTAAAAATGATAAAAAGGCCATGTTATGCCATAATTGATCATTTTATGTAAAAAAAAAACTCGTTAAAATATTACTAACATTAATTTCGGGAGAGAAACAGATTAAATTTTACTACAAAAATCATAGTTTTAATTGAATGGTTCCTTTCTATGAGACTGTTCATTACAGGTGGAAGACAATACAAACAGGTTGTTGTCACTCACTCAAAGGTGAACACAGCGATTAAGGAGAAAAGAAGTTGAGACTTTAACAACTGGCCACTAAATACAGGGTGACCGCTTATAGGTTCGACTGTATTATGGATTCAGCAGCAGTGGCAGCTTTTTATGACAGACTGAAATAAAGACTTACATTGCACAGTGACATAAACTCTTACTGTCTTTTCCTGTCTCACTCCATTGCTTGCGATGCAAACATATTCTCCTGCATCATTCCTGTTACTACTGGAGATGTTCAACTGTTTGGTGTTAGACAGTTTAATCTCAGATTTTTCCCATCTTATCTTAGGTTCAGGAAAACCCGAGGCATCACAACTCAAAAACAGAGGAGTTGACGCATTAACTGTTATATTCTGTGGCACTTCTGTAAACTGGACAGGAACTAGATAAGAAGAGAGGAACAACAAAATTCTCACACCATAATATTAGAATGCAATTTGGTTCAGAACCATCCACTTCAAACGCTATAGAAATAAGATTATAAAATGTAGCACATACATAAAAAATATAAAAAAATGGAAACAAACTTTCACTATGTAAGCTAATCAGAATTTGCATCTGTTTTAAAATACTCTGATGAAAAGCAGAAGTTCACAGTTTTTGGAAGACACAAGATAATTGCTCTTGAATAATGTCTTGTTTTTTTTTTAACCAAAAAAATAAAATCAAAGCTGGGATTAATCTCAAACTTGTACCTAAATTCCAGGATTTTTGCTGCACGTTAAATGTACAACCATGTAAATGCTCCCATAAAGTTACACAAACTTACAGACTTCTTGTGTCTAAAAACAGTTTAGGGTAACCATGGGATGCCATTTCCACAAAATCATTTTTTTTTTCCTATCATGCACTAGTCAATCATTATTAGATTTGTTTCCGTATTATAAGGCTCAAGTTCATCATAATTAGGCATTGTATTTTATCATTAGGCACCTGTTCATCATTGTTAGGCACCAGTTCATCAATATTAGGCACCTGTCTAACATTATTAGGTACAAGTCTATCACTATAAGGCACCAGTTTATTATCATCCGGCACAACTTTTGCTATTAGGCACCCATTTATCATTAGGCACTGGTAAAATTTTTCAAGACAGGCATCATTCACCAGCACTTTTCCCAGGTACCTAGGGTGGGAGCATTGTGTGGAAAGCTGAGAAACGCTTGCGAAGGAGACACCTCTTTAGCTAGAGAGCAATGCGAAGATGTTTGTAAAGCCACACAAAATGTGCCTCGTCCCAGACTTCTTTCTCCTTCCCCTCACCCACCTTAAATTCTTTATTCATTCCCATTACTCCCAGGAAAAGCCTATAGCGGGGCAACCTGAATACCAGGGTCTCTATTCTTCCCTGTTCGGGGTTGTAATAATTCGCAATGTAGAAATTTTTATTGATGCAAGTAAACTGGTAAAAAACGTTTTTCCCATTTCGGATTATAATTGCAAAGTATTCAAAAATTCTCAAAGATGTTTCTACCCACCATTTATGTAAAGCCTCACAGTGGCTTCTACTCCGTCTCCAGCATCATTATGTGGGACACATTTGTACTTGCCATAGTGCTGAGATCGATTGACGTTATTGAGAGTATACTCACCGTTGCTGTTATTACTTAGGAGGCGGCCATTGAAGTAGAACTTGTAAATTGATACTTGAGGCACAGCAGCCATAACTATGCACTTAAATGTAACAGTGTCTCCTTCAGTGACAGTATTTTGTGAAGCATTGGTAGTGAGCCTTGCACCTTCGGGTTTGTCTAAAAATGTAAATCAAATCAAAATCTTAATCTCTGTTTATTTCATGGCTCATACATTCCCCCTGGTTATAAATCATAACCTCTTGTAAAAGTATATAGGGTGCATGATAATGCAACACGCACGGATTAATCGTGTGTGGGTTAATTTAATATCAATCCATAGAGTGCTTTGGTCAGAAAATATAATGCTTTTGTAGTGAAAAATTGCAGAAAGTCATCCGACCATGGTTAGAATGCTGACTAAAAGCAAAATACTTCAACTACCACATTGCACGCTGAAAAGCAATGGCATTACTGCAGCAAGAAAAAATATTCCTACTATGTCGTTACCAGGAGAGCTATTTTAAATCCTCTGTTAGCTACAATGAAAATTTGTGACGGCTACCTTTACATGTTATCGAACGTCAAAACATTGTCGCGCGCACCTAATTTCTAGTGAAAATCCTTAATTTTGAGCCGGAAGACAAGCGCAACAGTGCCCTAGACAAGTGCATGTGAGAGGATCTCATCTCGCAAAAAAGCGAAAACCTAATTTGAATCTACTACATTCCTCATTTTGCACAATTGGTTCCAGGATGATATATTTATCTAAGAACTTTTTGAAGAACAGAGCCTCCCTTGATCAAATTAAAAGTGAAAAACCAAAACGAAAAACACGGGAGATTTCGGTCAGGTTGCGTTCATACTATTGTGCTTCGTTTTACTTCCCGAGAGTCTGAAACGGGCTGAATAAATTATAATTGTGCTAATTAGTATTTCAGCTTCGCATGGGCGATAGAATGTAAACTACTTGTTTGAACGAATAAATTTTTTTATCAAGTGCACTCTTGCAAACAACTAAATATTTGATAAGCAGACTGTTAATCACATTGAAATTGAACACCTATCTTTGGGTTCTGTTCGCAGTAAAGCTTATATTTACATGTCAATTATAATTCTTTAGGAAGAGTGTTGCGTCGCCATGATAATTATTGCTTATGTCTTATTCTTTTTCTTTTTCGCAAAAATTAAATATTTTGGTGGGCTTTTGTGTAACTAGACTCTCTTAAAGTGAGATCAAAAATTGATGTACTTGATTGAAGTTTGTAAGGCTTGAAATGTTTGAAATGTTTGTAGGAAAAAAAGAGTATTGAGTATGGCACGTGACACTTTTTCCACTGATAGGAAAACGTTTTTAGTTGAGAGGTGCAGTCTATAACATAACTCACCAACCCTCCAGAAAATTTCTTCCATGTATCTATAATATCAACAACTAAACTTGGGGGTAACTACCTGATTGAGAACAAGTTTTTTTAAAACATTTCCCCTTTACATCGATAGGCCTTCTTTTCATTGGCTGAAAACCTAAATGAAAGCATAGTGATATCCAATATATCTTTTCCTTGTTCTGACTGTTAAACATTGCTTGGTTAATAAATCACTCCAGCGTTACTGTTACACAAAAACGAGTTTTTAGTCAGAGTAGAAATATCTTGCACAAGATACACTGGTTCCAAGATTAAGCAACATAGGCTTGAATACTAAGATAAAACAGCTCTTAACTTTCCTTTCTAGGAGGGGCAACCTTTTCTGTTTTCAATTGCATGTCCCAATGTAAACCCCTGGACTCACAGTTTTCCACTTAGTGCTTTATAGACAACGTAGCTTTATATTTTGTCTCCCTGCTAGGGTTCCAGATTTCAAACATCAAGATCCAAAGTCTCAGCACCGTAAATAAGAAGCTCGAAGTCAAATCCAGCAATAAACTAATTGCTGTTCACCCCAACAAGGACTTGTTTGTCAGGCTCCTCGTAGCATCCAATTTGCCTAAAAGATGTGCTTAGCTTCGAACTGTCCTCAATCCCATATTCACTCACTAATAGTAGTCTTACAAAAGTTGTTGTGAACACGTTATACTCTCTTCTAGAGAAAGACGGTCATAGTTCAGCAACATACAGCATCAACAAATCCAGAGGGTGTTATTATCAATGGCATGGCAGTTCTACAGAAGACAAAATCTTCTGCACCCGCTCTTTTCTGGCTTTCTGCAAGTCCACCTTGTCTTTACCAGTACTCGGCGACTTCATTAAAGGAGGTAAGCATCAACGAAGGGGAACATTCATTTACTTCCAGGTGTTAATCGGAGGTCTTGCCACTCCAGTACCAAGACAATGGGGAAAGTATATTGCCAGCCCAAAAAAAGTGAATGGCTCGGATGATATAGTTCAGCATGTTTCATTTCTACCATTGATTTCTAGTTTCGTTGCCGGCTATTTAAATTTGTAGCTATCGGCATTTGTTGCGTTTGCTGTACAATTTAACTTTCACTTTGGATCAATTTTTAAACGTGAATGCTAAATTTTTGAGAATTGGTAAACCTGTGCAATTTCCTTTCGGTTGCTCTCTGCAGACCTGGCAATAGAGAAGCCTATGTTTGCAGCTTATACATGACCACCAAAAAGACAAGCATTATAGATAATTTGTGTTATCTCATGTTCTGCCAGAATAAGCAAAAAAATGAAATGCTTCCACCCGCAACCGATTGTCTACTTCAACATCTGGAGCATTCAAACTACCAGGCTTTCGGTTGGAGTCATGCTCTTGAAGCTATGCAGGATCTTGGATCACAGGAGGGTCATGGGTGGGTGCACATGCGAGACGGGAACTTCTCGTACTACTGCCAATCACAAACGCACCAGCACCAGTTAGCCTACTTGAGCTGACGACGTGCAAGTGCAAGACATCTACCTGCTAGCAAAACTGCTTCTGTGGCAACACAGGACTTGCTTACGCAGAAGTTTGCTTCTGCATGGCAGACGATGAAGCATGTAGTAACCCCCATGGTCTGACCTGCATCAGTGACTCAGAAGAAAGCAATGAAGAGAGTCGCTTTGAAGAGGAACCGTAAAATAGTCAACATATAAGGTGTCCATGTTAAAAAGGTTAGCTTTTTGTCGATTAACATTAGAGATGAGTAACTTAAAAGCTAAACAGACCAAAATACGTCATAGGCGCGTGCTTTTAGTTGCAACATGTATTGCTCTGAGGTAAAAGGTGGTGTAAATAAAAGATTTGGAAATATGATTTCATTTTAAGGCAGGGAGGCGGATTTAGGTCCTTTGGAGGTCACATGCTTGGTCATGTGACATAATTTGCAGATGGTTAGCATGGCTGGCCTTCTGCCATTAAGAGCTAAAGATATAATCGGAAGAACATAAGAATTGTCGCAAACAGTGGTTAGTAGTGAGCCTCTTTTTCATGTCAAAACATGCATGAAATTGGGCGAAAATGATATTTCTCTCATTGCTTTAAGCTAAATAAGCAAACAATTAGCCTGCAGATTGTACAACCCTTTCATAGATAATAGCAGAATACTGAGGGATATTTCATTAATTTTTTCCTGTTGTAGAGCGGACTGAAACAATTAGGTATCTTACATAGCGGGGTAACGTAGTGCTTGCAGGTTACACAACCTCTCAAACCAGAGAGTCACGGAAATTTTAAAAACCTGAAAAAAAAACCTAAAACCCGAAGCACAGCATTTTTCATTCCTTTCCCTGCCTTTAAATAAGGAAAAAAGTGAAGGTTGTAATCACTCCAAAGTACAGTCTGTCACATCTGTGATATCAGTCGAGTATTCAGTGTAAGGTGGAATGGAATGGATTCTTGTCCTAAAATAGTATATCCCTGCGAACGCCACACATGCAAATATGTGCGCAAATCTTAAGTAGGCAGTTTTAGTTTCAGCCAATATTTGCATCAATCAGCTGATCTCAGCCATCAGTAAAACAAACATGTAATTTCTTAGCTTTCCATTGAGCCTCAACCTGAGCCCTCACACAGGATCAGAATATGCGCTAGTCCTGCGTGCTGGTCAAACGGAGTGAATTTTGGGTACCTGAGACCAATGCATACAAAGCCAAAAAGGATTTTAGATGGAGTTCTATTTCCTTGTACTTTTGAACAGATTCGTCAGTATTGTGTAACTGACTTTAATAACAGAATTCGCCCTATAAATAAAGTAAATTCAGAAATAGAAAATTGAGGTTAAAATATACTTACAGTGAACTAAAATTGTTGTGTCAATAGAAGTGATTTCCACTGAGTTATTGGCTCGACATGTATATTGTCCTGCGTCTGTTCTGTGGATATTATCGAACTTTAAAAACGCAGCTTCCTTCCCTGAACTTTCCAATACTCCATTTCTAATCCATGCTACATCCGGAAGTGGTTTCCCAGAAGCTCTACAGGCTAAGGTGACAAAGGAGCCTTCAATGTAATATTTTCTTCTTAAAGGAAGGTTTATAAGTGGTCGCTCTGAAAGGTAAAAGAGACTTTATCACTCCTCGTATGGCGTGGCAAATCTTACTTGGACTGAGTCTTACAGTTTATCCAATTTCAATAAAAGTCATTGAGCAATTGGTCCCCAACAACCAACTAATATAGGGAGGCTCAAACTTCATTTGGTATAAGTCAACCTGTTGGCACAAGCTATCGGAGAACTAATTCCAAACTAACTTATAAAGCAGAGCCCTAGCCAAGGGAATTAAGGGTTGACTTAGGACGTAACTCATTGGGCAACTCCCATTTTTGTAAATAACTTTTTTGGTGCTGCACAGACAAATAGGAACAGAAGCAATCAAGCAACACCTCACTTGGAACTTGGTCTGATAAAGGATCTACAGGAGACATCCTCAATCCAGAGAACTTAAATTTTAACGAAAGAGAAACTATGGATTCTTCCAGATTAAAAATATACCAGTGACATGCTGCATGCTACTTGCCCATTACTTAAAGTTAAAAGAAGAACTTACTCATCTCCTTGTACTGATTGTTCTTTTATCAAACATGATGATTGTTCATTATGACTGTTCTGCTAAAGGAGTTTGCAGAATGGGGAGTTTCTTTTTCTCCGCATTTTGAAGAATCACACCCATAAATAAAACGTTCTTAAGCCCAAATCAAACACAAAGAAAACGAATTACTGCCCTGCATTAAGAATGGACTGTATGGAGACCACTGTTAACAATTTGTCCTATAACTAATATCATTAAATGTTTTGCTCCTTCCCAACAGAGAGGTTATCACTCAACAATTTAAACACATCCTCAATCTCTCTATATTTATATCCTATATCTGTCTATATTTGTAATGAAGCAGCATCATTCCATCAGAGCTCTAAGAAACTACAGGAGATGATTGGAAAGAAGTTGTAGAGGCAGAAAGTGGAGAGGGGACACCAAAAACACCACTTGATTCATCTTTGTATTGGAAGTAATATCCTTGTTGCAAACTAAAGGTTTGAGTAATGAATGCAAAAAAGATCTTGCTAGCCAGAGTAGCTGAGAGAGTATTGGTGAAAGGAGGAAAATCTAATTTAATGGCAGAAGTAAAAACTTGATTTTTAATAGTACTGAGTGCTACATTATGTGCAAGTATTAAAGGTTGAGGAAACTGTATGTGGTTTCCTTAAGAATGGAGTGGCTTGTCTGAAAAGGTGGATAATACTACTTGTTTGTCTTAAAATATTTCCATCTTCCCTCTTAACTATGATAGGCCCTATTAAACTTTTTTTTAGATTTTGGATTATAGACTTCATTGGTTTATTGATTTCATAACTTTAAGAAAATTTTGCTCCATCACACAATTCTTCTAAGTCTCCACTTACTCCTTAGTGTCAGAAATTACTTGGGGAGGTCAAATTTACATCTGTAAATGTTAGAGATCATAATCCTCAGAATGCAGTAAACTGTGCAATACCGACTTTCATTCCTGTTGGCAAGTCCCCTTAAAAACGTGTGAAAATCCATACTAATTTTTTTACCACCAAATTAATGTCATATGCTGCCTGTGATTGGTCATGCAAAGTTTCCTTTATTGATCTAGCAAAATCATAGGACCAGTTGGATTGTTTCTAGTTTTGACTGACCATTTCTAATTGACATATTTCATAGGAGAAAATTTCAGTACTCATATTAATAATGTTTATCTAAGATGCATAACAGAGCAACCCAGTAGATGGTGCCAGAAGAATAAAGCAATAACTCTTTGATAATTCTCTGATTTCTTTCCGATAAGAAACAGCAAAGTAAATGATAGAATATATTTTCTCTTTTAGGAGTGTGGTGTTCTATGCCAAGTAAAAGTAGCTCTATTGTTCCCAAAGTCTGAATAGTTAGCCACTTTCAGCCCTGCATATAAGTTTTGCACAAATTGATGCTAATGTTTACTTTCTTCAGATCTCAAAAATATGACAGTTATGAATGCATTTGATTTATGTTTGATTATTAATGGTTATGCCTGTTATGTGTACCTGCTACATCCAGCTGCACTGTACTTTGTACCAAGTACAAAAAGCTTCCAATTAATTCACATCTAAAAATGGTATTGTCTCCAGGGTTGATGTTATAGATAACCAGGGTAGCTCTTCCTTCAATTTTAACTCTTCCTCTGAAAGATGGAGGAATTTCAGGATGCTCTAGGACACCATGACTGCCATTAACTATCATTCTGAGAAATTTCCCATTTACCAAAACACTATAGGTGATGCGTTGAATTTTATTTTCTGGATCAGCATAGTCCCACACCAGTTTGGCATCACTACCATTGTTAAAGTAGCTTGGATCAGAAGGTTCCTGGGTGAAATGCACATTCACACCCCCTAAAATAGACAACCATAAACAATTTAATATTCTCAGCCCTTTATAGTTACATGTGTAATGGTAATATCAAGAAAGAACTGCTTAAATAGAGTCCACCACAGAGACACTTTTAGTGTAAGCAGTGACAACAATAAGTGAAAATATACTAGAATTGATATTCCTTGATATCATGCAATCAGCTCGAAGTATACTTTCATTTGCTGAGAAATTAAAGGTTCAATAACAGTAATGTGTAACTATTTGTGACTTATGAAAATCATTTTCAATGTGACAAGTTCCACTTCCTTTAACTTCCAAAATGTGTACAGTGATGAATTTCCAAAATTTAAAAGTGGTACACTTGAACAAATTTTTTGAAGAAGAACTTGTCAAGGTGGAAAATGGGAAGTGAAAACGTCCACACATATAATATGTTAACCCATCAAACGAGGGATTTATTAATCCACTCATTTCATTTTCTCTATATATATATAGTCTTTTGGCTTCTAGTTTTTTCAAAATTTGTATGGTCTTACTTAGGCATCCTATCCATCATATAAGATTTGAGGAATTACAGGTTGTTGTATTAACATTACTACTGGGAACAAACGGAATGACATAAAGAAAGAATTAATCAGTTGAGTGAAAAGCCTTTGTTAATACAATGGGAATTATAGCACCAATTTGAAACATAAATTTTTCTTCATTCACATGATTTCAAATCATATTGCCAAGGTGGACTGTAATGCTTTCTTATCAGAGTCATAATCTAGAAATTCGTTTCTTTTGTACCATTTTGGATACAAATTTAGATTCCACTTTAGTTCCTCAGATTGCAATTGTAAGGGATTGATCAAAGCATAGATCAAGACAAAGATTGTGATCAGTTTGCATGTGGTGAAATCAAAGTGATTTTGACCAATTTTTAGAAGTCCAGCTTTCTCTGACATTATCTTGATAACTGAATTTAACCCTATACCTTCTAGATCAAATTTGTAATTCTCCTTACTGTCAACCATACAATTCTTATAATGTTAGTTCAGAGAATTTAGTATTGGATGAACTAATCATCCCCAAATTGAGATTTTCCTTAGTTTATTCTCATCACTGATCTGGTTTATATTGTATTTATATTGTAAGGAGAAATTCTGTCTAGGTCACTAGTGGGACTTAAAGGGTTGACTTGAGTGTTTACACCAATGGCTGACTTCTTGTGTTTAGCCTTGAAGTGATGATTCTACAGTTGTATGCAACCAGCAAATATTACTGATATTTAGTTTCTTTCACTTTGGCAAGCCTCCACACCACAAGGGTAAAAAAAACATAATATTATTTTTACTGGTCAAAAATTTCATCTACAACTTGTGATTGGTCATGTGCTCATTTCTCACTTGTGAGAAAAACTATTTGACCTATCAGAATTTGTGTTATTTATCGGTAATCTTTTTTTTTTAACTTAGATTGGAGTAAATCACAGCATGTTTATGATACTGGCCACCATAAATACACACTGGTCTGAAAGTAGACAAATCATACATGTAGGTATGAGCAATTAATGCTCAGTTATCCATGCAAGTACATTATGTAGTTTCTCTACATGATTGCTGGTTGTTGCTGTTGATTGCAACTTAATTGCTAGCACGCAGCAATTATCCCTGCTGAGCTCATTATTTGAACTAATAATGAGTGGAAAAATTGGTCACAGCTCTTCCTAATAATAAATGATGGATGGCAAGAAAGAGAGTCTATATACAGATGGTAACTCTTTCCTGGGTTTGCATAACCATCATTTTTGTAATGGAAAGCCACCTGACAAAGCAGGAACTTTTCTCGTGGCTCAGAGTACGACTCACACTAATCAAGAAAATAGTACACTTCTCAGTTTCAATGTTGCTGTTAAATTCTAAATGTATGGTATTGTTACACTTGAAGCATAAAATCATTTGCTTTTGATTTCTATCGCATCATAGTTATTCAGACTATTACGTTTATCGTTTACGTTAACGTTCATTTATCCCGTGATTGAAATCGCAACATCGTATCTTAATTTTCAAATACAAAAACTGTAGAAAGCCATCTTAGAGTTCGGAAATCATTTTGACGAGCATCACGTTCGGAAATAAAGGGTCGACGTTTTCGGTTTCTACGCTTAAAATAGACACTGTGAAATCCTTTGTTTGGGAGAATAAATTTCACGCTTACCTGACCCATGAAACTTTACCAGCAGAAGAAAGAGTAAGTAGATTCCATAATCACGGAAAGGCACCATCTTATCAGAACTTTGCTGAAGCTTCTATAAGGAAGTTTGTGCCCAAATCTTAGGAAGTACCTTGAAGGGATAAAGGCTCCTCTTAGTCTTGAGACTGGGACTGAGTGTCGTGATCATCCTCGTGAAATTGTCGGCCGTAGCAGGCCAGATTACTTAAACAACATGGCAGATGGTACAATTTAAGGAAAAAAAACTCGATTTAAGCTATACACTTGTTACAATTGTATGAGCTGTAGAAACGTTCTTTTCGGAGAAACGTTCCATTCAGAGTAAACTATGCATGAAACTTGTGAGTGTGTCGAAGAGCGTGACTGTCGATGGTACCGCTATCGATCACACGCGCGTATGAAGCTAAATTAAAGTCACGCAAATAAAAAATAACTTCTAATAGACATTTTTCAGCTCCTCTTTCCTGTTTTAAAACAGTGGATTTTTTCCAAGGGCTACTAAATATAATCAAGGTAGGGTTCTGCTGATCTATTATCTGTGGGGATGCACGAGAGTACCCATATTACTAGAGCCGGAAACGGAAGTCAAGCAGATCACAAGGGAAATAATTACGCGATCCAGACGCGCAATTTCAGTCAGTACATATCAAGAAATGCGGGAAAATCAAATCGAATATATTTTTTAGAGGGTAACTTTCCTCGAGATTCCCCTTATCTTGATATCAGCTTCTTCATGAATCTTCGAACCATGTCATCTAAAAACATCTCTGAGACTCATTTCTGTGCTAGATGTAATAAGCCGAGAAGTTATTGCACGAACACGAAGTGGAAACAACAACCAGCTTTGTTATGAATTACTGCTTCGGTGTTGGCAAAGGTAAGTCTAAAGTCAGAGGGGCGCCTCAGATGAACTCTGGTTACGAGAGGGAATGTTAGGTGGAGGGATGTAGGGGTGTAGGGGAGACCAAGAGGAGAGGTGGGATCCATTGAAGTATTCCATAGAAATTACGAATTAAATCTACTCATTATTTTGATTTTAGAAGAAAGGTGCGTAGTTCACTTACTTAGAGTTTCTTTTTTTGCTTTTTTACAAACATTTGAAAAAATGGAATAATATATTAAAAAATAAAAGCACTACAGAACTTCAATAGTTAAAATATGGTGGCTAGCCTGAAATAATGGGGGTTGTGGTTTTCGATGCCTTATTTCAGATCTGATCCAAAAGTCAATACCTACAGCACATGCTTCCCGTCGGGAAAGGAATAGGTGATTAACTTTATTACTTTGTGATTAAATATTAATTAGAAATTGGCATTTGTAGCACAGATACGTGATAACACGTGATCTTTCAACTTACCGAGCGTCACGCAATATTTTCATTATCTTGCGAAAAGCTCTTTCTATTACGAGGAAATTGACTTTACCTCATAAAAAATTTTACCCGTACAGAAATTTCCCTGAAAATTACCCTTCTTATATTTTCAACCCCTTTGATATTCTCGTTTTTAGGTCAACTCCATGTCGAATTCCCGATTAAGAAAATATTTGTTAAATTTTAATTTAGCGCGTTCAACACCTCTCTCTTGAAAGGTGACCAAAGGTATACACCGCTAGTGCTTTTCATCCTCCGTACTGACTTTACAATCAGGTAACTTAAAAAGGTATACAAACAGCACCTAGCTCTTTCAGAAGCGGTACCTTAGGTACGCCCTTTCCTTTCCGAATTTTCTTTTTATTCTGTTGTTATGTAACGATCTTCAAAGGCTATTTTCTCTTAAGATATCTTTTTGGTATGAGTCTAATTCCGGTGATAAGTTCATTATAATTCTCATATTGTCAATTTTTTTTTGTTTTGCCCGACCTCTACTGTAAGAGTAAGAAATTTAAGGTAGAAAATGATTTTGTAAGCGTAAATATCTCGAAGGTACATGCTTAGTATGCAGGAACTGTTTTTCGTAACGTAACGTGATTCGTTAGCTAAGTGAGAAATGATGACGATGCATGGAGATTGACAGCTTAGTAAGTGTCACCTTTAGCTGGTGACCAGTATTTAGCTCAGATCTGAGCTAGTTCCCAAGGCAGTAAGTTGTGTTAAAGAAAAATAAGTAAAAGAGGCACATTTACAGAAGTGTTGGAAAAATCTTCTCACATTTTAATGTACATACGATAAGATTTTATAACCGTTAACTAACGGCGTAATTCCTTACTGTTAGTATGTTTAAATATATCTATATGACATATACTGCTAAAGTGTTGTATCTATATCGACGCAGATAATGACGTAAAATCGAGCAGTATGTAGACGAAGATATTCGTGGCTTCGGAACGTGCACTCCACTTCTATTTTGATAAATGTGAAGCATATATATCGAGGTTTACCGTATTATCATTCTTTTTTCGGCGCCGACAAAACCTGGATCGAACCAAATCGGATCACGGACCGGATCAGGGATCAGATCACGGATCAGAGCACGGATCGGATGACGGCACGAAAAATTAAAATGTTTGAAAAAAAGAATCAAATCGTTCAGTGTAGTGCCGCCATGGACGAAGGCAAGCGAGAGGTACATATCATTTCATGAGTCAGTTATCCTTATTTTTTAAGATAGTCTCACTTGCTACTTTTCCTTTATTCAATATTATTCAGCACACGCGGGAGAAGAGGCAAGATGAGGAGTGAGACTGCCTTAGATATGACTATTGAAATAAACGTAAAACAATTTAAAAATTTTTTTTTGACATTTTAACTAATGAGCAGCACTCTGCGAACAGTAGTTAAAACTTTTAAAAAAATTTGACAA